GTGCATATTGTTGCTTCTCCAGCGTTTACCACGCGAGTTTCCTGAGACGACAAAGCTACGCAAACACATCGCCGCCAACTTCGAGACTCCAGCAGAAGAGGTGGTCATTATCCAAGAGCGGCTGAAGAAAATGCTGAAAGAAGTGCGAGGGTGGTGCCGCGACGATCCTTACTCAGTTAGTGTGTTTGAAGATCGTCTGCAGTTTGTCAAGGAAACGATCGAAGCGTCAGGCTACGAAGGATACGAACCTCGCTGGGACAAAAGTATAGCCGAGCTGCTCTTCCGCTTCGGTTGTTGTCTACAAGCATTTCACACTGGGTGGGCCCAAGACCGGCGATACGACACCATTCGGGCGCTGCTATCCGAGATGAAGAGCCAGGAGCGCCGGTAAAGTTGCTGAGCTCGCTTCAAGTTGCTTCTTATGTACACCACACCGTATGAACGTCATCTCGAAGCGACAGTCTATCACGACGCGCGACAGACATCTGAATCTTCATTTCGAGCTATTATTGCTCACGTTCTAGTGCCCAAACGTTAGGATAGTTCTGGTAAGCATCGAGGACGCTGTTCACGAGTAACGGCGCGCGCGCAACCGTTCACTTCATTATTGAAACAGCCGCCTCCTGATCAGTCACCACGGAACAGCATCCAGGATATGAGCAGTCAGAATCAAGAAAAGCATTACTTCACGGACGAGTACCCCGACAATGACTATCAGTGCACGACCGAGTCTTCTCACCCGCAGACTCCGCTATGGCCGGCCTACCTGCCAGTGAATCAAGACCGGATTGTCGTCTTTGAGCGTAGTAAGAATGCACAGCTCGTCGTGTACTCTGCCAACTTCCGCGATAAGAAGCGCCGTGAGCTGGACCCAAAGTGGCCGCTGGACATCAACTGGCAGAGCTTCGGCTGGACAGCCCACCCCACGAGTAACCCCACTGGGATGATCGAGCGGAAACTGGCGTGGGGGTACTCGCACAAGGTGGTCAAACCAGAAGGTCCAGTTGCCGTCGAAGCAGTCGGTACCAGCTACACAGTTACACTGAATGCGCTGCCCAGTCGTCCATCACTACTCTACGTTGACGCTAAAGGACGAGTTATCTTGCAAACCACAATCAATGGTGCTCCGTCGCGTCTCTGGAAGATCTTCGTGAAAACCATCAACAGTGTTGCCTTCATCCCCAAGGTACTGTACGTAGATCTCTACGGGACGCACGTCGACGACGACCACGCCACCTACGAGCGCATCAACGTCTCGTCCTAACTTAGTAGTAAGCCGGCTTACTTTTGAATAGAAATACACATTCCTTTCTTCTTGTTACTTCTTGCTACGCAAGATCAAACTCTCTGTTCTCTCCATTCTTTTCTGCTGCAACGTATCTAGAGTTTCTTTCCGTCGTAATTCCAGTTGGCATTCGCACCTCCGTGTCCATGGAGAGGGGACAAGTTGTAGGCCGCCGCTACTTCCTCAAGGAAACTCGTCGAGTTGTGGATGCGCGAACCACCAAGGAGAATGCGCTGACCTGAATTTGACGACGCTACCTTCTGGTTAAGCTCAGCCACCTTCATAGCCTCTTCAAACGTGACCCCACCACACACGAACACAATAACGTCGCGTACTCTCTTCACGCCGTTGCTTCCGCCAAGGTCAGTCGATGTTGCAGCACCAGCACCTCCATTCACCACGCCGAACTCTTGGTCCAGTAGTTGACCCTTTAGGATAACTTCTAGCTTCTTGGCTAGTGGCGGCACGTGCTGCGCGTATACATTCGGGACACCCTGTACGCCCTGCGTAACAGCCCGCATGAACTTCTTCAGACCAGCACGATCGCCATACAAGTCACCCTGACGAGCCTTTTGGCCACCAAATTTTAGAAAGGCATCAACCAAAGCCACGCGATCAGCCGACAGTCCTCCTCCGTGTGGGGCTGCCAGCAGCTCCTTGACCGTCTTGAGCTGAACCGAGCTGTGTGTTTCATAGCGCAGAGCATAGAGAATCGCCAAGCGCAGCTTGTTAAGTGGCTTCACTTGCGCATCTTTCAGCTTCGTCACCACATCGCGGAAATGTGCATTGTGGTCATCTCCGCATGCGAGTTCCTGCTCCAGTTGGCTCACATCCATAAGTCCATCCACTTCCACTCGGCGAGCCAATTCACCCATCAGCGTCACATGCTTGGATACCGTAACCGACTGAGATCTGAAGGCTGGGTAGTTCTCCAAGAAGCGCTGCATGTCATCGATAGACTGGATATTCTCGTGGGTCTGAGTTTGAGACTGATATTTGTCCACAAGCTGCTTCACCGCCATGCCGAGATCACCGAAGTTGGCGTGTACATGCTGCGCGAAAAAATCGTCCGAGGTCGTAGATAGCACAAGCTCCGTCATGTCCTTACGTACATTAGGTGCGTCACGAAGATCCACGCGGTTCTCGTGTAGTCCGAGCAGTTCATGTACCATTGCTTGATAACACCACTGAGTGAGCAATGGCGTCACGGGGTCGTCCTTGCGGTCCAGCACATACACGAGCGGGGCCACCTCTGGTCGTCTGAAATCAAAGAGTCCATCCTGCTCGAGTTGCATCCTCGCCGACACCTCACGCGCTAGTTTTTCGGCCACTTCCGATCCTTTAGCATACCGGATCGTCGGTTTCTTCTTCATTGAAAGCAGCACAGAGAGCAGTCCTTCTACGCTTCTTTGAAACAACTGCGGGGGCGTCATCTTGGTCTTGTCCACGGGATCTGTGGTCAGAACTCCAGCCGTGGCAGTGGATAGCAGAGATCCTCCGGGCGAAGCCGTCGGCATCCTGACACTAAGTTGGATGGAGTTGTGCAGGCCGAAGTCGTAGAGCGAGTCATTGACTGCCAGATAGTCAGCGTAGTACTCTTGAATCTGCACCACGACTTCCTTCTCGTCCGCTTCAGCCAGTTTCTCGAGCGCCTCGACGGGCAAGATGTTGGAGAAGAAGAGGTGGTAGCGTCCGTACTTGGGCGCCTTGAGCTCTCGACGCAGCAGCTCCACATTGCGAGCCGTGGGGCGCACAAAGACGGCAGCTTTGAGGTGCAGCATCGGCTCGTGCGTGGCGTCCAGCTGCTCAACAAGGAACACCTCGCGCTGCAGGATGTGCGACTGGGACATAACCATACTGATGACGCTCTTGGTGTCAGCGTCCAGCAGTAGCGCCTTCATCCCCTCCAGCTGCGGGTCTGAGATGATCTTCTCCAGGTAATTCTTTACGCTGGTGATCGCGTCCATGGCCATTGCTGATGACTTGGAGCTTCCTCTTGGGCGGACCTTTCCACGTAAGAAAAAGGAGCCGAAAATACAATGAATCCTGATACAAAGGTTTTCAGTGAAAAATAAACCCAAATATGAATTATCACAGTTTTGTTGAAGTTGATTTTTTTTACATTTTTCTTGTTCTTATGCTGCTGCGCTCATTTAACTTATTGCTGACTTGACTCCTTCCAGCGCACTAACACTCGACGATCACAGCGAGACTCCAGCACACGGTGACGATGGCAACCACACTGATAACAACAGAAGCGACGCGGTCCATGTGCGTGGCGTCCTCACCGCACAAATGCCAGTAAAAGACGCAGGGCAACACAAGCGCCAACAGAGCTGTAGGCACCAGCATCCACGCGAAGACATCGATCGTGCTAGGAGCCGTAAAGTAGCCCAAAAGAAGTGTGGTGAGTACCAAAATGCTGCGGCAGAATATGCGTGCAGCAGTCTCGACGCCTCCACAGCGTCCTTCATGGTCACTCTGAAGCGCGGGACTGGAGGTCACGAATGGCAATTCTCCAGCAGCAGCGGCAGCTTCCACTGGGCTGTTATGACCGCTCCTACTCGGAGGCTGCACGATCCACTGCTCAAATGCACGCTGGAGTGGAAATAATGTGACAGTGTACGACAGCAGCAAGTGAATAGTGTACAGCACGATGGCCACGTTGCGCACGACAACGTTGCGCATGTTGAAGAAGACCGGTGCCTGCAGCGTTGCGCCGTACACGGCATACGTGACACAGCAAATGGGCAGATACATTAATGCTGTAACCCCTAACTTCGTGCGAGCCACCACCGAGCTGCATTGACTGGGATCCGCCATGGCGTCATACAATGTAGGGATGATAGAGTGACCGAAGAGTCCACCGAGAAGCAGTGAGAACGTGTACGAGAGCTTCCCCATCATCGATACGTTCGAGAGGTCCGGCGTCACAAAAATGAAGTCTGAATGCTCCAGTGCAATCTGCTTGAGGGGATACATGGCGTCGCCCAGAATCACCGACTCGATCCAGAAGCTGAAGGCCACATTCACGGCAGAAAACACCGCTAGCGCCTTTAGCGAGGGCACAAGTACTTGGAACCACACGCACACTGCCACCAACAGCATGACAGTGCCGTACTGAAGTCCCAGTACATCCACCAGACACCACGTCGCCAGCGTCAGGTACCCCGTGGACAGAATGAGAAAAGACGCGTGCACCAGCATACTCGTGACCAGCTTACCGGCTGCGCCGAAGCACTCATGTCCGAGGTCGCTGTACGAGACGCTCGTGCCTCTCAGCCAGCGCACTGCCTCCAGCGCGTCCACCAGAAGCTTGGAAGTGTAAGCACTAACCGCCGCCGCCGCGATAAGCAGTAGCACACCGTACCAATTGATCTCCACGAGGGCCAGTGGTAGACACAGCATGCCGGTGCCCGTGATAAACGACAGTAAGTGATAGAACGTCTGCCAGTTCGAGAGCTTGTTGGACGTGGACGCCACCACGGGGATCGCCACCGAAGGCTGCCAGTGTGGTCGCGAATCCTTCACGTTCTGGCTAAACGTAGCGCCATAGTCGGCATGCTCGCTACCCAGCAGCGAAAAGGCTCCGACGGCGGCCCCGCGGCCGTCAAAGCTGCCCTCGTAGCCGTTGTATGCTCTCGCATCCTGGTGCGCTGGAGGCACCAGGCGCTGCGTCTCGAAGCTGCGGCCCATACGCTCGCCAGCCATCGCGGACTCGCTCGCGAATTAAGTTACTGTATCTTGCACTCCGACAGGATTGGGAGCGCTACCTTTGAAGGTATAACGTCTGGTTCCGCTTCAAGCTGAATGCAGGAGCGAACTCGGCGCTGCAAGTGAGACAGACAATAGACGGAGCGATCGATGATGACTGGGCGTGGAGCCAGAAGCAGATTGGTCGTGTTGTGCACACATTATGCGACCTACAAGCGACATCACCTGTCTAATTTGCTAGCGAATTTACTTGACCTTGTTGTTGAAGTGCTGCACAGTTTGAAGTAGCACATGACAACCAAGGCCGAGGAGGAAGCCCGCGCCCGTATTGAAGGCGAGGCAGCCTGACGTCGTGGCCAGCAGCAGCAGCGCAGCATCGTGATCACTTGTGTCGACTTTGAGTCCGACGATAGCGAGACTCAACCCGCTGAAGACCAGCATAACGCCGAGCACGGATGACGGGAAGATGCCCGTCTGAAGCAGCGCCACGCACGTTGAGCCCAGTAGCAAAGCGAAGAACATCTTGAAAGCCCCGAGAAAAACCATTGATAGGCTACTGCGTGCGCCGAAAGCGTACTGAGAGGCCAGACCACCGGCGCCATGGCATACAGACAGCATGCCGAACCACGAGAACAGCAGATTCCCACCAGCGATGCTAAAGCACACACGACGCACGCCGGCGGGTTTGTCGTGTGTTGGGAAGAGCTCGGCAGCTAGCGATTCCAGGGCAACCACCGAGTTTAGCAGAGTCAGCGGAAGCTGTGGCAAGGCGAGATACACAAATGCCTGGCCGAAGTCGTGCGCTGACGGGACCACTGGTGCAACGAACACCGGACCGAAAAGCGACAGCACAGGCAGGTGATATTCATCACACAGACGTACATACTGGTATACAGCGACGAGCATCCCGTAGACAAACAGCAAGAGCGCCATAGGAACTTTTTTGTTACGGATGAACACGATGCATAGGATCCCAAGGAGCAGCGAAATGGACACAGAGTCGAGGCCAAGCCAAACGACCTCGTCCTTAGTTGATGTTGTCGCTTTCACATACGCGGTCTTGAAGCCTTTGCCCATTAAACTGATCCCAACACCCAGCTGGATTCCACGTACAATAGCAACGGGCACGACCTTACTCGCATGCGTGATAATGTTAGTCAGCGCCAAAACGCCCACGATGGCCCCCATGAGGATACCCGCAGCGATGATTTGCTCGTTCGGGAGCTTGTCAGCAATGGCCACGGCGGCAATTGTCTTCATGGGTTGCACTGGGATCGGTACGTTGAAGTGAAGTGCCAAGCTGGACGTGAAGACTCCCGCAAAGAACAGCGCCGCTCCGAACTCAATTTGCGGTACACCGTGCACTCGTCCAATGGCCAGCGCAGTGAGCAGCGGTAGGAATAGGCCGATATCCCCGAACGCTCCAGAGAGCTCCTGCAGCGTCATGAACTGCTTCAGATACGCTCGCCACCCCGGCCTGGTAAACACGAACAGCTTCCGGTACAACGGCTGTCCGATCTGCGGCCCTGTCAACTTCGCGAACCTGTCACTTGCTCCGGTAGGCAGCAAAGGGCTCGCCGCGGGTCCCTCAATATCGTCCAGCATTTGCGTAGATGTTCACGGAGGGGGGATTGCGAATGAAGTCGGAGAAAGATGAGCTCTGGGTGCCTCATGCCAATCAAAAGGTATCATCGCTTCGGATTTTGGATTGTCTAGCAGCCAAGGCAATGGTGAACGATGGCAAGCTTGATTGAAAATTATATTCGAGTTGTTTTGTTCGCTTACAGTCAGTCTGACCTCACCCTTCTGCTACTACGCTCCGCTAGAGTCGAGTCCAGTAGGGAGAGCACTGAACAAAGTCCGATCCCCATGTCGGTCTGCGTTGCCGAGATTGAGGCCTCTTGTCCTGTACGTACACACCTACTGCGGCGGCTCCCACTCGAACGGCTCAGGCGGGTCTGCTTCGTTCTCCGCGCCAGCGGCAGCGGGTGCCTTCACGGCCTCCACATCCTCGGCCTCATCGGGCGTTGTGTCACGCAGCATGATAACCCCTGCCAGTCTCTGTGCAGGGTGCATCACCGGAACGTACCTCTGCGCTGTATCCAGAGAGATTACAGACTCCTGTGCCAACGTCACACGTGCTGGCGTCGTAAATGTGAACACGTTCGGCTCTTTGACCGCCGCCTTCTTGTTGGCAGCTGGCTTGGATCCCTCCGTATCCACCTCCATAGCATCGCCACTGTCCTTCTTCTCTTCGTCAGCAGTAGTAGATTCCTTCTCCTCCATGACGATGTCTCCACTAGCGTCAGACTTGGCTGATTTCTCCTTCGCATCCTGCTTAGCCTGGCGAGCACGTGCCTTGGCGGTTGTGGACAGCACAGCAGTAGCAACCAGCTCTTTCTTCTCCTCCTTCTTCTCTTCCATGCGCTTGGGCGTAGCAAACGCTGATTTCTTAGCATTGCACGTAAGTTCGAAGCTGCGTGGGAGCTTCAAGTCCTTGTTAAGACCAACCGCCATGGTCGTCTGGAAGGACAGCTCCAAGAAGTTAAACAGAGGGTACCAGAACCAGTGCTGTGCCCAAATGGCCAGTCCCACCACAGCAGCCATCTTGGTGAATCCAGAGTGAGACTGCAGCGAAATAACAACGTTGCGGCCACCGGCATCCAAGATTCCCTGGGCCAGGATCGCACCCATCTTGGTCATCGTCGTAACGTGTTTGTCCGTAATCAGCTTGAGGACCTTTGCGCGAATAGCAGCCACCTTCGGGTTGCGCCCCTCCGACTCCTGCATAATAACCATGGCCAAGGCAAGTAGCGCACCTTGACGCACGTAATCTACAGCGTCGTCAAGCAGAGGCTCCAGCAGCTGAATGGCCTCGTTCTTGGCAGTGCCAGCGCACGCGATACCCACAGCCACACAAGCTCCGTAGCGGACGTGCGGGTTGAAACTCTCAGCTAGTAGTGACACTAGCTTAGGCACCTGCACAGGAGTGCGGAACAAGATGAAACCCAGGCACGTGACAGCAGCGCGACGCACATCGTCGGACACATCGCTCACAGCCACGTGCAGCAGTCGTCGGATAGCAGTGTTGTTGGCAGTGCCTGCGTACGCCATGGCAACCGTGTACATGCCTCCGTAGCGGATCAACGGGTCCTTGTCTCGCGTCAGCTGCTCGATCAACGTGTCAGCCTGCTCTTCGCGCTCGTACATCATCAGCGCGATGCCCATCACACAGCCACGGATGATCTTCTCGTGCTTCGTGTCGTGTGCGTAGGCCAGCAAGTCCTTTACGATCTCACCGTTGCGTCCCTCACCTCCAGCACCAAGCAGAGTAAGACCAATAGCAATGCCAGCGCCCTCGCCCGCGACGGCTGAGTCCGTAAACAGCACAGTCTTGAGCTCTTCGTATAATTCGTAGTCGTGAGAAGCCAAGCCGCACAGACCAATACCCAAACACGCGCCGTGCTGTACGGTCTCATCTGACCCGGCATTCTTCAGCGCATTACGCAGATACTCCATCGTAGTCTTGCTGCCCGAGCCTGCAAAGCCCTTGTTGGCGTGGATCAGCCCCATCGCATACAGAGCGCCACCTTCAGAGTACGGGGAGGTCGTCATACCACCTTGAGGCAAGTAGGGGGCCAAGAGGTTCATGCTTTCACGAACATGGCCCTTGTGCACGACACCCAGACTAGCAGTGGCCGTAAACTTCGCCCAGTTCGTAGCCTTACCCAGCCACTCCAAGTTCTCGCGTAGAAAAGAATCCGACGTGGTGCCGCAGTTCATATAAGCGTGTGCGATCACAGCAGCGTGGTGCAACACCGAGTTGCGGTTTTCCACAGCAGTCTTAATAGTCTTCATAACGAGCGGGTCCGAGTCGCTGTGGCTGTGGAGGAAATCCAGCTTCAAGTCCACAAGGAATTCACCCGACAGGATCTGTTTCAGCTTAGCCAGTTTGTCCCAGTAATCAGTACAAGCCCCAGCAGGAGCCGGAGGAGGAGTAGCAGGCACAGCCGGGGTAGGTGCGGGCGTCTCCGTCTTGCCCTCCTCAGCCGTAGTGGTCGTGTCTGCAGCAGGCTCAGCAGTAGGTGCCGGTGGACTCGGTAGTGCGTGATAGACATTCATTAGGAACTTCTGATTCTCGTTCTCGTTGAGATCAAATGCGACCTGGAAGGCCACGAGGCAGTCGCGGTCGCTGCCACGTACAAGCTGCTCCAGGATCTTGCTCACTTCCACGTGGTTGTCCAGCATCTGCAGAATCTGACACACACTGGCGTAGTCTTGAGTAGGACGGGAGCGGTAGACTTCCAGCATAACCTCAAACACCTTGAGACGGAAGTGGCGGTTGCTGACCACCGTCTTGCAGATCTCAAAGCAGTACGACAGCGCTGCCGACACGTCTGTAGAGCGGGCGAGGCACTCCTTCACCTGGTCCAGTCGTCGAGCCTCCAACGCGATGCCCATAGCCTGACGGAACTCACCCGCGGCATAGCAACGTTCGAACATACGCTCCACCACCTGAGTGAGTCGTGGATCCAGAGCCTTCTCGGCCTCCAAGTCCTCCTTGACACGCACAGCCACGTAGTTGTCGATGCACGTGGCGATGATCGTATCTGTGTACTGAGAGCGCGTGTTCAGGTCGAAGTATTTGCCGGCGCCCAGTGCCAGACGCAGCGCGTCCTCGTACTCCTCCAAGTGGAAAAAACATTTGGAGGCAACGTAGGCAGCCAACTCGCGGTCCGGAAAGTTCTTCTCTTCGGATAGCTCCTCGATAAGCGGAATGGCGTCTGCGATCTCGGCCCAGTAGTGGTCCACCACCTGGTTCAGCTTCTGGAGAGCATGGGTCTGGTTGACGAATACGATCATAGCGGTGTTAATAATGGGCCTTAAAGAGCAAAAGGAGATGATATAGAAGTGTCTTGATCTGCCGCACCTTAAGCACGTTATCTTCTTCTTCTAGGAGGGCGAGAACGCCCGCAGCTGAAGAGATACAGACAAAAAGATCCACCCAGACAATGTTAGATTTGTGACGGCTAGAGAAGGCGGCGAGAAGCCTAGGTTGCATATATTTGAAGAAGAAGTGGGGAGGGTGCAGGGGAGCTTAGGGGGCACTGCTCCCAGTGCCAGCAAACGTACCGGAACTGCCGAGTGCGACGGTCATCCTGTCTCTTCCTGTTGTTGCTTCACACCCCGCCAGAAAGAAATCTTCCTCACTTCCCCCAAAAGATAAAAATCGCACTTTATTGATGGTAAACGGTACATTCGTGATTTAGACCTGTTTATTACAGAGTTAGCACATAGCAAACAACAAGAGCCATGCCTGGAGAATACATAAATTACAATTTGATATCCAGGTTGAAGTGTCCAAAAGATACTTTTCGTCTTGCCCCAACAAACCTATATGAAGCAACACCAGCTAGATGTCTTGACACAATAATTGCTACAGGCACTTGCAAAAGGCGCATGAAATGGTCGATCATTATTGTGCCTTGCGTCACCTGGATGTTGTCGTCGTAAAAGTTAGTAGGTGGCCCCTGTGCATCAGTAGTTACGAGACCCCGTAGAACTGCATTCCTACATTTTGCTCCGCTCGCAAGGAGCATCCGCAGTCTTTCTCCCGATCGAATTCCAAATTAGGAACCCCGACGTGATCGCGACACCGCCACGTTGTCCATGCTGGGCCAGCTTTTGCTGGCACAGGGTGGCATTTTTGCAAAGTTGGGTTTGTCCTACATGGATATTTGGATAGCTGGTGGTACTCCACTGTGGTCCATAGGGTGGAGCCTGTACAATTAAGCAAGCAAACTTGGCGCCATATCGACATTCTCAAAATCGGGCCACAGCAAAAGAAACGTTGATTGTCGAGCCAGAAACCAGGCTCGAATCTGTATCTGGAAGGCCATTTTCCTTGCAAACTAGCACGAAAGTTTGTTACACAATCAAGCAACAGGTAGCACTAGGCATCGCACTGCAAAAATAGCGCTTTATAGGCTAATACTGCCAGTGAGAACGCACGAGCCCAATTGAGACACAAGTTCGTCAAGCTGGTAAACTATAGAAGTGGTATGTTGCAATAACGAAGAACCAACGGCGTACTGAGCTTCGACTCAGGGTACAGCAGCTAGGACTCTGCTGCGTTAAAAAGTGTTGTCCATGCCTTGTCGGCAGATCAGAGCTCAATAACCACCAGCGTCCTAGAAATCGGCAAATGCACTTCGAAGTGAAAACGCACGCTACATGAACATGTACGCTAAGTTGGAGCGATAGGAGTAACACGGGAGAGATACATCGCGCCCGTCGCGGGATTAACCTGGTAGCTTTATTTAAGCGCCAGCACTGCAGTCGCTACAATCGCCAAAGGTTTCAAACATCGTGATCGAGACAAGCTATCAAATTCGATCCAAGCACTTTCAGCTGGTTTCATTCCCGCTGGTGATCATACTGTAGCGCAGTTTCTCCGCAAGTCTATACATGTACCGGTAGTGCCTCAACAGCAAGCAGGTTCGCCATTGCAAGCGCGCGTATCTAACTGCCTCGACAGCAAATAGATACGCGTTCAATGTGTGGTCGGGCTTTGTCCGCTCTGTCCACTACCGTTCCAATAGGAGCTGCTGATAACTTCGGGTTTGTAAGTGGACGAACGGACGCTTGTCCGCTGCGGTAAGGGATGGGGTCTCCAAGCTGAAGCTGAAGCACCTGCTACGTGTATCTGCGTATCCGCTAGCGACAAACCTTTGATCGGCATACCCCGCAGCTACAAGCTGGTCATTTCCACATTGGCCGCGTGCTTGCAATAGCTGTCTCTGCTGAGGACCCACGAAAAAACATGAAGGTCGTCGTTGTTGGCTCCGGCATTGGTGGTATCTCCGCTGCCTACCACCTTGTCAAGGATGGTCACGAAGTTGTCCTGCTCGAGAAGAACGAAACGCTGGGCGGACACACCTATGAGATGGAGATCGACGGTGAGATGGTGGACATCGGCTTCATGATGTTCGGCGACTCGAACCCCAACGTCAAGGCGTGGTTCAAGTCGCTTGGTCTAACCGAGCCGGACGGAACCACCAAGAAGCGTATTCCGATGAGCCTGACGGTGAGCTCTAACATCAAGGGTGATCTCCAGTTTTCGTCACGAGCTCCGTTCCACGGCAGTTTGCTTAACCTCTTCGACCTGCGCATTTGGCGTGTCCTGCGTGACATCTACCGCTTCACCATGGACCTCATGGTCATGCCCGTGAAGGAGGATATCACCACCCGCGAGTGGATCGCCAAGGGCCAGTACTCGAAGGAGTTCTTTCACAGCTATTTCCTGGCCTTTGTGTCGGTGTTGTGGACCGTACCCAAGAACGACGTACTGGATCTGCCCGTGACACAATTCCTTCGTTGCCTCAAGACGCACTCAAACTCGCTGTACATCCCGTTGTGGCAGGTGATCATGCGTACTCTGGGCCGCCGTTCAGCACGCCCGAAGCACCTTTGGTGGTACATTGGTTCGGCTTACATCGAGCCCTTCTTGAAAATCTTCACCGAGGAATACAACGGCACCGTGCGCTACAATGCGACTGTCGATCAGGTTGAGAAGGGCGGCAAGGCCGTCATCCTTGAGGGTGGCGAGCGTATTGAGTGCGATCACGTCGTTCTGGCCACGCACGCCGATGAAAGTGCGCATATGCTTCGATGGAGCGAGAAATCGTACCGATCGCTGATGCGCTTCTACTTCCACAAGAGCATGATGTATGTGCACCGTGACCCCACGCTTCTGCCAAAGTCTAGCAAAGTGTGGAGCAGCTGGAACGTGCTGATCTGCAATGAGGACCAGTACATTCTGACGTACTGGATGAACCGCATCCAGCATCTGAATAGCAAGAAGGACGTGTTCGTTACAATTACCCCGTACGAGGAGTTTGAGGGCCAACGCCCGGACGCAGACAAGACCATCTCTGCATTCCGCTGGGACCACCCCCGTCTTCTGGCAGACTGCATTCCGCAGGTCGAAATCATCCAGGAGGAAGGTGTCACGCTGTCAGGCTGCTGGTTAGGCCGTGGTTTCCATGAGGACGGCTTTGTGGCTGGTCGCCGTGCTGCTGCGATAATCCGAGATCCGAAGCACAAGAAGACAGCGCTGTACGAGGATCCGGGCAACATTTCAACCCCTCCTGTGCCTCCTTTCGGTGTCCCGCTAAGTTTCCACGTCATCGGTGCTACCGTCGTCGGCCTGGTTGGCTACGGAATTGCCAAATACCTTGACGTCAAGTTCTAAATAGATGATACGTGTTAGTAAATCGATGTAGATTTTCACTTGCTGCAGGCAGGATGATACTCAGCATGTTCTTCCCAATAAAAAAATTCCGCTTCTTCCGAGTCAGATATCGAGCGACGACACCTCTCGCCATCACATGATCAGACCAGACCTTGACGAGAGTGGTGTACGAGCTTCGGCACGCAGACGAGTTTCACTAAGGCTCGCACTGATGACCATTCCGTGTCCGCCACGCTGCAAGCAACTTGCATGGTTGTCATGGTTGCTTAGAGTACATGAAGTATGATAGAGGCAAGCAACCTCCGTCAGCACTAATGGTGTCGGTGCCACCACCGCAACAGCTTGGCTTCAATAGTTGAAGAGCGTGTACGTCGCTTGAGGTCTTTCACAACTAATAACTTGCCGTTTGTAAGTGGAGGTGGATCCCCTTACAAACGTCAAGTCAGCGCCCTGACATGGTCCTGTGGTGGCGAAAAGGGGAGTTTTGGCTCGCTGACAGACGTGCGCAATGGCATTTCGGAATCTGCTTCGTCCGTGTCGGTGCCAGACTCCTGCAACGCTATGAAGGTCGTCGTCGTCGGTTCCGGTATCGGCGGTACATCTGCCGCCTATCACCTGGTCAAGGATGGCCACGAAGTTGTCCTGCTCGAGAAGAACGCGACCCTAGGCGGCCACACGTACGAGATGGAGATCGACGGTGAGATGGTGGACATCGGCTTCATGATGTTCGGCGACTCGAACCCCAACATTAAGGAATGGTTCAAGTCGCTGGGCGTCACGCAGCCGGACGGCACGACCAAGAAGCGCATCCCTATGAGCCTCACGGTCACGTCGGACGTGAAGGGAGACCTCCAGTTCTCGTCGCGAGCTCCGTTCCACGGTAGTTTGCTCAATCTCTTCGACGTTCGGATCTGGCGTGTACTGATGGACATCTACAAGTTCACTATGGACCTCATGACCATGCCCGTGAAGGAGAACATCACCACGCGTGAATGGGCTGCCAAGGGCCGCTACTCAGAAGAGTTCTTCCGCCACTACTTCCTGGCCTTCGTTTCCATCCTCTGGACTGTGCCCAAGCACGACGTGCTGGACCTGCCTGTCACGCAGTTCCTTCGCTGTCTTAAGACGCATTCCAACTCGCTGTATATCCCGCTGTGGCAGGTGATTCTCGGCGCGCTGGGACGGCGTACGGACCGCCCGAAGCACCAGTGGTGGTACGTTGGCTCGGGTTACATTGAGCCGTTCCTCAAACTCTTCACGGAAGAGTACAATGGCACAGTTCGTTACAACGCCGCCGTTGAGCAGGTCGAGAAGGGCGGCAAGGCTGTGATTCTCAAGGGCGGAGAGCGGATTGAGTGCGATTACGTCGTGCTCGCTACCCACGCCGACGAGAGTGCCGAGATGCTGCGTTGGAGCGAGACGGCGTACCAATCGCTCATGCGTTTCCACTACCACAAGAGTATGATGTATGTCCACCGTGACCCGATCATGCTGCCTCCGTCGAACAAGGTCTGGAGCAGTTGGAACGTGCTCATCGCTGAGGACGAGCAATACATTTTGACGTACTGGATGAACCGTATCCAGCGCCTGAACAGCAAGAAGGACGTGTTCGTGACCATCACGCCGCATGACTTCCAGGGAAAACGCCCTGATCCTGCGCAGGTTATCTCTGCTTTCCGCTGGGACCACCCACGTCTTCTGGCGGACTGTATCCCGCAGGATGAGATCATTCAGGAGGAGGGCATCACTCTTTCCGGCTCCTGGCTAGGCCGCGGCTTCCATGAAGATGGCTTCGTGGCTGGTCGCCGTGCGGCCGCTATCATTCGCGACCCGAAGCACAAGAAGACGCCGTTGTACGAGGACCCCGGCAACATCCCGGTCCCGCCTGTGCCTCCTTTCAGTATCCCGCTAAGCTTCCACCTGATCGGCGCGGCTGTTTTTGGTCTGGTGGGCTACGGAGTGACCAAGCTGCTGGAGAAGAAATAGAGCATGACCCTGTTTTCGCATTGCTTCGACAGAACCAAAACAAAACGAATGTCCATTGTTATCCACACGAGTAGCGTGTTACTGTCGTAGTCTATCAGTTCATCATACCTGAGCATCTTCACATTTGCTCATCGCAGCGAGAAATCGGCAACAAGCGATAGGTGGTCGCTTGAATGTTCGGTAGTAGGTAGCTCGTCGTGCTTGAAGAGCAGTCCAGCAGGGATCATTTCCACTACTCCGTGGCAGTGCAGCGAGCTCCGTGTGTACCAGATATAGTCGACTGTGGCCTTGGAGCCACTATGGAATATCGTGAACTTCGGCTCGCCCGTGCACTTATCATCGGGCAACTGAGCATACGCACTGGCGAAATCAAGCTGCGCAACGACATAGGATACTCGATATTAGCCAGCTCTTCTTTCTCTAAGCGCGTAAGAGCTTACGTACCTCATGAGAGTACACTGTGTTGGGCTTGTAAACGCGAAAATCATCTCGTTGGGCCCGGTAACTGTCAAACTTTCCAAATGCAGTACCATTTCCATGGTGACGGGTTCGATCGTTTTCGTTGACCCGTGCGGCTTTCTACTCATAAACGAAACAGCGTACTATTAACATCACAGTCACCACATGATCAACAGCAAAGAATCATACCTTGAGCGCATACGTATCCAGATTTTGACCAGATAAGCCATAGCGCGAAAGCCCAGACGCATCCAGCTTTCCCGTAGATAGAAAGTGGTAAAGTGGGCTGTGCGGCGCTAGATTAAAATCCCCGGAGAGAAGAACCGGCAGTATCGCGTTGTGCTCCTTGCGCAGAGAAGTCAAGTGCTTCAGTAGCATGTCCAACTGAGCCAACTTGATCTCACCGCGCTGTACAGTGTATCAAGACAATAAAGCAGGTCAAGGCTAATAGTAGAGTCAAAGCATTCAAACTCCAATTCACGAACATTTGGGTTGAACAGCAAGTGTGTGTTCGTGACCACAAAACGAGCAGGACTGGGTCCACCGACGCTGTTCTTGGCCTCCACCACTGCTGTCAATGCAATATTATCTCGATCCAATACAGGATGATCCAGCACGTGGTACTCGATCGGGTGAGAGGATACGATGCGGAACATGCTCTTCTTCACGAAGATCGCGCAACCGTCGTGCGTATTCTCCCCAGTTCTGCCAGCAGCAAGCTCAATATCAGTCAATTATAATCTTCCGTGCTACCAGCAATGACCTACCTTCTTTTGTAGACGCCTACAAAGCCCGCCTTCTTCATTCTTGGCTCGAAAAAGTCTTCAAAGTGATCCACCTCTTGCAGGTTCACGATATGGGGTGACCAGCGCAAAATTTCTTTCATCAAACGAACGCTACGGTACTCCCAGCTGCATAATTACAAGTGGTATACACCATTAGCATTGATCTGAACACTACGTGAGCAATTGCACCAACTGACTCGTATTTCTGGTGATGCTTGGCGGGTTCATTCTCGCGGTCGTTTATTACCAAGTAGTCTGCAATAATAATAATAATAATAACGCTTCAATTTAGTATGGATACATTCGCGCTGACTCCGTAATGTCGTTACCTGCCAGCACGTTGAACGACATGAAACGGAAGGTGGACGCTGCAAGAGGCACAGATGGGTCCTCGGCAATTCTGGGCGGCGCATACAGCGTCCACGGTCGATGGATCGGTCGCGGCTTGCGAGGTGTCATGCGCTGTCTCTTATCCTCGGTCTTGGAGCTGCTAGCATCAGCTGCCGGGCGCCTCGAGCGCTGGCGTCGGCCTCCGCGAGGCACCTCTGTCTTGTTCTCCATCAAAATGGGTTCAATTTTGTGTTTTAAAAAAGGTAAATGAAGTGCACCACACTGAGCACGCTCACGATGTTTCACACACCACATTTGCGATTGCTTCAGCTTGAGCAGACAGCATGAACGCTCCGAACCGCAGCGACTCGTACCTGCTGCCCGAGGGCGCGCAGAAGGTGACGTATGAGAAGGACACGAAGATCTCCAACGCCGGCAAGTTCACCATCCTGCGTGAGGACCACACTATGGGCAACCTCATCCGCATGTACGGTACCAGAAGCAATATTTTAGTGACACTTAACTTTAACCTTGTTCTCTTGCCAACCACTTGTAGGCAGCTGCTGCGCGACCCGAACGTGACGTTCAGCGGCTACCGCCACCCGCATCCGCTCATCCATGACATTGTGGTGCGCGTACAGACCAACGACGCATCGTCCCCCGTGGAGGCTCTGGCCAACTCCCTCGACGACCTCAGCACCGAGTTCGACGAGATCGCACAAAAGTTCCGCCGTCTTACAGGCAACACCAAGGATCACAGTTCCTTCAGTTAGGCCAGCTCTGCCTCTGTTGATGCGTTTAAGGCTCAAGTCGACGGAGAAACACGAATACTTTAACAAATCTGGTGGCTGTTCTTCTCTACTATGTTGATCTAGAATTTATACTGTCACTCCTCAAAGCGCAACTCGAGACGACCAGTTTCTGTGTTCGGGTACAGCATTAGTGACATTGTAATGGCCTCGAGATGCATCTGCTGCTCGACGAAAGTCTCGATTTCGAACTCATGCAGCAGCTCACGACTTTCAGGGTATTCAAGTCTCCATAGTTGTCTATCACGAGGATCCCACACCTCGATCACTACTGCTTCGGCGAAAGGAAGCACTTCTGCTCGAACATGACAATCCACAGCGCTTGGTTCATCTTCTTGACCATCATTCTCGTCGTTTGTGATGCGGAGCACAGGCGATTCAGCACGGAATATACATCGGTCCAAGGTGATATCGAAGGTCGTAGTATCTGTTGCTGGAGTGATGGTGCATCGTTCACAGAGCGCTTTGACCAGTACTGGCCATGGCGCTTCTCGATGTATTCGGTGGATCTCGTTACTCGCTGCAGCTATCGCACGTTGTAGCTCCTCTCGTTTCTTCTTACTGGATGCAGCTTTTGTCTTTAATGTCTTCCCTTTCGATGAAGCACCACTTGATTTCATGGTAAAGCATGCTTGACGAGTGTCTTTCATTGTCTCCTGCAGCTCAGCGAGACGTTTGACCACATCTGACGCCGCAGGAGCAAGTTCTGGCACTAATTGTTGCTGCTCAAGGTGGGTTTTCGTAAGTGCTAGCCACTCCAGTTTCGAAAAGACAAAACTCGTGCACCGGCAGCAAGTGAAAGGATCATACAGCTCCAGTGTAAACAACTGCCTATTGGCATCAACGACGTCCACATCGTCACTACTCTCGGGTTCTAACGCGAATAGAGAGTATCGTAGACGCTTTCTTGATATTTGACATCCTCCAGAGCCCAGAAACGTGCGATCAGGACGCATGTGTATCCTCGCAAGCCACGTGCGTTGTCCTACTCGCAGTTGTCGCTTTGACTGAATTGTTGGCTGCAGTATTGCCGCTAAAGTTTGCGCCACATCTTCACGTATTCGCTTCCGAGCCCTGTCAGCTCGTCGTTGAGCACGCTCACCAGCCGCCTTCTCTTTATCGCCCACAGCTTGCAGCTGTTGCTTTAACTCGGTTAATTGCGCTGCTGAAGTTTTCATCTCGGCTTTAAGTGCTTGTCTCGCTGTCTTAAGAGCCCGTCGCTCTTCATGCAAACGTTTAGCATCGACATTTCCACCGCCTCCTGCAGCGTCAATCTCTTCGATACGTATCCTCTGTCCTTGGTCCTTCTCGTTTATCTCAGCACGCTTAGTCTCGATAATAGTGATTTTCTGTCGGATTTCAACGCGCTCAGCTTCAGCTTCATTGTGGAGTCGAAGTTGCGTCATTTCCAGTTCAAGTTGCAGCGAACGTTGACTATCTTGCAGCATTTTGTTGAATAATTCATCGCGTTTTAGCTCCGAGGTCATCATAGGAGCAAGCAGAGGAAGAGCGTTCATCCCAGATCCTTTTCGACCGCCATTGATCGCGAGCATCATGCGTGCGTTCGGTTTGCTACGTTCATGTCCAAGAAGCTGTAGCCTTGACAGCAAACCTTGCGCCACCAGCATCGTTTGTTCAGGACTAAAGCCACCTCGCGGATACGGATACAATTTCACGAGCGATGCAGCCTCCACCAATCCGATTGTGAGCCGATATGTGATCGAGGAGTTTGAGTTGTATGCAGTTATTATCAGGTTTCGAGCCTGAGCTGGGAAATGGTAGATCGAGACGTAAAAGTGCCGACCACGAAGCTTCATCGTCCGGCACAATAGCCGATGTCGTGCTCGGCGGGGTTTTTCAAGTAATGCAGCCAATTCCTCAAGCCGGCGAGCTTCATCCTGTCGTAATCGTTCTTCTCGTTCAAGTCGCCGAACTGCAGACTCGTTGAGTTGAATCTCTGGCGAGATTTTTAGGACTGGTATCCTAATTTTATGGTTTTTCACAGCATCTCCAGAATCATCTGCATTGTTTGGGTCATCAGGATATTCAAAATAGAGCAATGTGATAAGCTGGCGTAGTAATTCCTGTTTTCTACCTGGGGCTAGTAACGCTTCACGCTCGGGATCGTCACCTCCAACTCGGAAAATCCACTCAATATCTTGCAGCGTTACGACCAACGAGTATGTTCGACTGGTGGCTGGATTGTACGCTTCCACGCGTAAATATCGTTTCTTGTCTTTCCCAGTTAAACCAGCGCCATACAGCCGTCCGTAGATTCCTTCACCAAACACCGAAACCACGCAATAACTTCGAGAGATCAGTATTCCCTGAGCTCGCAAAAGAACACGCTGAGGTTTTTTCACTGGACTAACGGAGCTTGAACGAGTGTCAAATGTTGTTGCTGTTGGGTGCGATGGAATGTGAAGCTTGTAGGTTTCGAATCTCGTCCACTTGCCACGATTATTTGCGCTCGGAGCTTTCGTCATTCTCCAGCGTATTGTGGATACGGTACCCCTCACTAAGAACGGTAGTTCATCGTGTAACCAGTGTTTGTTTCGATTTCGAACAGGTTCGCGCCACAACTCAGCAGACAACAGCTCGTAGCCGCGATGCTGCAGCGAATGGCACGGCATCAGAGCGATTTCATCGCCGCCCGAACACTTCTTGGGTATTACAGCGAGCTGTAGAGCATTGACCGGTGAATTTGGCTCGATGTACTCCTGAAGCCGTACGATCTGCTCCATCGCAATGGTAGGGGCGCCATTGATGTCAAGAACAAGTCTTGGTCTCTGGACTATCTGCTGCTCTAGTGGTGGCAACGGCGATTCAAAACAAATATGTGCACTCGTCTCAGCTGAACATGGTCTTGAAGGCAGAAAATGGTGCTCAGCTATAGAATCGATGAGGTTGTCGAGTTTTTCGACGTTATGTCGTCCTGGAGATGACGAGGCGGGCAGAGGTGTTAGTATTTTTCCAGGCAACGGGTATTTACGCTGCTTGTGCCGTAGTTGCGTTAATGACGAAGGAGAAGATTTCTTCCAGTACTTCCATTGCCACCGTGATGCAATCGATGTGGCTGCTTCTCTCACGTAATTAGGAGTGGTCAACTTGCCAGATATTGGACTGCTGTTTCCAATGTCGTCGTCATTTTCACTGCGCTCGAGAAGAAACTGGGGCAACTCACCGATCGCTCCTTTTGGTGAGAGTGGCAAGTTCATCGCCCATGTGTGGAAAATCACGCCTGTCGAAACAGAGCACTATTTTTGGAGCAAAGGGCAAGGTACTTAAAACATTCATGTTGTTTATGAGAATTTTACGTCTCGGAGACGCGAAGATGACATGATGTTGGGGTTGCTGCGTTTATCTTCTCAAGGCAACCATAATTGCTCGTGCTGGTGGATAGTAAAGAGCACTCTGCTCCGTTGGGCAGATCTTTTTGAGCTTGTGGGCACAAACCTTGGCGGTTAACGGTGTTGCAAATTGGCCATCCGTGGACACAAAAGCTCTTGTCGACGTCGTGAACCAACACTCGCGTGCCGTTGGAATCGAGGCAGTCATCACTATCCGCTTGTGCCACCACTGTCTTGTTAAAAACAACGACTACGGAGGGTTGAGGAGTATTCGGAGACCAATTCTCTGGATCAAGAGTGATGCTGCTGCTCTCGCCGGATGAAATTGCAACGACTGGAATGAGCTCCGCTGGATCAGTGTCAGCGAATACCGAGGCGGTGACGATCACAAACGCAAGCCCCAATTTAATGGAAGCGACCAGTTTTATGCTGGGTATCACTGCTATCATGGGGCTGGCTGGTCACAGACTAGCGTGCTAAGGTGAGAAGTGCACCTCCCTCTCAGTCCGTCAGAATGCAAATGCGGCGTGACAGGTGCAACTGCAGCCTCCTTCGCAGAGAACATTTTGCGAGACTGCGGCAGAGCGATAGCATTCTTGGACGGCCATTTTGATCGTAAAGGCAGATGCAGCATCGTCGCGTAGTTCTCAGTGGTGTCTGCCGGTTTCGCATTTGCGAACTGTAGCCCATTTCGGCTATTCGTAACGACAAGACTGCTGGTGGCGCTTCGCATGTACATGTCTTCCTCTCTGGTCCTTCGCCATCAGCTCGATGCGCGTCGTGTGGATGCCAATGTCGATGTTGGAGAAAGAGTTGCTTTTTTTTGAAATTGAAGTGGGCGTTGTGTTTCGCTACATGACTGGACCATGACTTCTGACCAAAAGAGCGTCCTCGAGGGGACTCGAACCCCCAATCCCCGCCTTCGGAGGGCGATGCCTTATCCATTAGGCCACGCGGACACGCCGACAAATCGAAGCCCCTAAATCTTGCGGAAACCTCGTGACCACCGATTTTGGATCGCGAGCCTGGCTATGACGAGCGACGAAAAAGACGCCATAACGGACAAGGGGGCGCGAAGGTTGCGTCAACGTACCGTAGACGATAGAATGCTACTCGAGGTATCTTGCATACTTAGTCATCATTTGACCCGCTTGTCTGGTCAAACACGCACGGTAGACATC